TAACTAACAATTAAGCGGAGTATGAAGCTGTGATTGCAGGTTTAGAATTGGCACGAGAACTTGGTATAAATTAAGTAGTGATCAAAAGTGACTCGCAGCTCGTGGTTAATCAAATGCTAGGGACTTACACAGCTAGGGAAGCAAGGATGCAGCAGTACTTAGAAAAGGTACGGGAACTGATAAAGCAATTCCAAACTTGGAAGGTCATACAGATATCGAGGGATGAAAATGTTGAAGCAGATGCCTTAGCTAATCTCGCATCAGCAGCTGATGTAGCAAAAGATGCAAATGCTGCAATTATACATTTATTTCACTCAGTTCTCGATCCAGATAAGAATGAGGTAAATTTTAATAATTTAACTTGGGATTGGAGAAACGAAATTGTTGCTTTTTTACAGTATGGTACCGACCCTAATGACAAGAAGCAAGCACATGCACTTCGAAAAAAGGCTGCTCGTTACTGTTTAAAACAAGGGAATCTTTATCGTAAGATGTTCGGTGGTCCATTAGCAAGATGCCTCGGACCTTCTCAAACGGAGTATGTAATGAGGGAAATACATGAGGGGCATTGCGGGAATCACGCAGGAGGAAGATCACTGGTTAGAACCTTGATTAGAGCAGGATATTACTGGCCTAAAATGGAGGAAGAAGCTGAAAGTTTTGTAGCTAAATGTGATAAATGTCAAAGGTACGGTAACAACATGCATAGACCTGCGGAGTTGTTACATCCGGTCATATCACCATGGCCATTCATGAAGTGGGGAATGGATATCGTGGGTCCATTACCACAAGCAAAAGGACAGGTAAAATTTTTGCTCGTACTTACTGATTACTTCACTAAATGGGTAGAGGCAGGAGCATTTAAACATGTACGAGAAAAGGAGGTCAAAGACTTCATTTGGCGTAATATCATCTGCCGATTTGGTGTACCAAAGGAGATTGTATGCGACAATGGCCCTCAATTTATCGGAGCTCAAGTCACTGAGTTTTTTGAGAGCTGGCAAATTAAGAGAATCACATCTACACCTTATCACCCAGTAGGCAATGGGCAAGAAGAATCAACGAATAAAGTCATAATCAACAATTTGAAGAAACATTTAGAGGAATCAAAGGGTAATTGGCCTGAAGTGTTACCCGGAGTTTTATGGGCATATCACACGACAACAAAGACGAGCACAGGTGAAACTCCTTTCTCTT